GTTTTTTTGCTTTTCCTAATTAAAAAAAAAAAAAAAAAAAATCTGATTACTAGGGTTCACAATATACAGGGGACATAGTCTGTGTGATTCAGGAAATTCTTGGTGGGTGTGAGCAGTTTAAGAATCTGCTACTATTTCATCTCCCTTGAAGATGCTGTGTGATGGGCCTGAGAAGACAGCTTTGTAATTCTTCAGCTGACTGAGACTGAGAAATGGTCTATTTGAGCTGGGAAACAGTCTCAACTATGTACACTCATCAGCTGAAGCAAAGTCTTGGGAAATTGTTACGTGTGAAAACACTTGCCTTACTCTGTTAGCTAGCGAAGAATAGAACTTCAAATTGCATCTACATTGACAATAATGCTGTATAAACACAAATAGATTCATGTAAAAGCCAGAACTGTTGAAGCTTGATCCATGCTTTTACTTTCCAGTGATTGTTAAGAGGGGGAAGCAGAAGCAACGTAACAGCAGCAGAATATGGGCTGCCAGGCATTGCAGAATACGCTGAAATAATGTAGCAATGGTACTGCATTAAGAGGTGTTACTTTCAAAGAACTGGATAAAACAGAATTTGAAAAAAAATGTCTGTAGCTGAATAACAAATGCACCTTGTAGGACTGAATTTTCTGGTAGTGTTTCCCGTTGGCAGAAGAAAAAGACCACCACTGCAGAAAAGATGTAGGGAGAGGCTTTGTCGTGCTACAGGCAGGAAGGTCACTGGTATTCATTTTGGTGATACTGAGATGCCTTTTTGAGATTAACTTGAAAAATATCTGGACTCTTTCAGATTGGTCATATTGATGGAGACCCCAGTCGGAAAGGAGCTTTCCCTGTATCATTTGTGCACTTTATTGTTGACTAAATTGCTACTGATAAGTGGAGACATTTCTCATTTCCAGCGGTCACAGAAATAAGTTTTGCTCTATTTCATTTCATCTACCTGTCTGCAGACACCTTGCCAGAGCACTGCCCAAGTCCTAGGTACTGTAGCTTACTTTTTTATTGCCATCGTTCTGATTTTGGGACTTTTAAAACTTTTTTCTATGTGAAGACTTCTCATGAGCAGTTTACACTTTAAAAAAACCCAACTTTTCCTGTATTTTTCAAGGTGAACTGAAAAGCTTTAACAATCAAAATCCATGTAAGTGTGTGAACATCACAACATTATGAATATTCTTTTCAATCAAGTCACTGTAATTTTATTCTCCCTTCTGTAACATGACAATACCACAGTTCAGCGTTGCTTCCCCAGTCAAAGAAATTGTGTGCATCTAACAGGGCAGTGAATTTATCCAATTCTCGATACCATTATTTGAAGTGTTAGAACCAAAACATGCAAGCTGTTGCGTAGTTCTAAATTGGACTCATTCAGCATCTTGCCGTGCTGGCTGTCATCCAGGAGGTCAACTATTAAGGAAGAAACTATTTTAATCGGGTGTCTTTGGCCAGGTAAAAGTGAAAAAGTATTTCAGTTTACCACAGGAGAAACTTCTTTCTTTCAGAATGGATGTAGATATTTGCTTAAAGTTATCTGAAATCTGTGTTAGTCGTTGAACTTTCTAGTTCTAATTTTGTGAGCTTGAGACTGTTTCATTTTTCTATGCTGCACGTGTGTAGAACCTGTTTTTTGAATGTTCTTTATGTATGTTACATCCATTTTGGTCATTTAACGTGACTACTGCTGGTTAACTCAACTATGGCAATATTAACGAGTTACTACATTAACTCAAGGATATGAAAACTGCACTTCCTGAAATGTACTTAACTATGATGATGGATTGCAGAGCATTTCTTACACTTTGTCTCATTATAGTGTTTAGACTTTGTTTTGGAATTCTTGAATTTTCTTAAATCATCCAGCAATGTGTTCACACAGAGAACATATTTGGTGGAACATTTAGATAATTATCCTTGGTCAATAAGGTATCACCTCACAAGTATACTACGTTATGTTCTGTTTTATAAAAGTTGTGTGCCACTACCTTGCAAACAATGAGAGTTTGCTAACGCACTCTGTATTTATATAATATACCCACATATATGGTAGCTACACTGTTGTTAAATTTGTTTTACTAATTTGTGAACAAAGGCTAGGCCATGGACGGTTCCCAGTTGGTTGATGGAATACAAAACACCAATACAAATCTGACGTCATTTTGATGTTTGTATATTGTGAAATTGTACCAGTTTTTGCTTATGCTACAGGAAACAACTGATGGCATAGGATGAGAAAAATCAATGTCTAGGTCACATTGGCTTTGATCACGTTTTGTGAATATTGTATCTCTAGATTTATCAAGAGAACTTTGAATTTCTGACAAATGGTGTTTAAATTGGCCATTTCATATTGAGCGGAATGGAAAATAGGCCACCACCATATGCTTATTTGGAGAAAAATCACATGGCGTTAGTGCTGGAAGAGCAACACTGATCTTACCTTGTATCGCCTTTCCTAAATGGTACAGTTGGTTGATAGCCTCTCAAATGTGTAGGTACAGCCAAGTATATGCGTAACTTTCATTTTCTAGATGCTGTTGCTGCAGTATAAAAGGGGAACAAACTGGAATGTTTCAAGATATTTTTGTTGCAAGTTGAAGCAGATTAGTCCGTATTTTCAAAGTTCCCAGGAAAATGACAGAGTAATAGTTTAGCACTACAGTTTTACTCACTTACTGATATGTTCAGTTTGCAACACTATTTTGTATGTTTCTATCCCTGATAGAGTCTAGAGAGTAAATGGGCATATTATTTTGCACAGATCTCCTAATGTACAGTATTTTTAACACAGAATCTTATAGTGTATGTAACAACTCGTAAAGTTAAACAATGATGCAAATTTTCCTTGAGTTCTGCTAGAAGAGGAATACACTTTAAAATGTCACAACCTCGTTCACTGGTCACTTAGAAACCAGGAAACTTGTCGAATACAACTTAATGGCACTAACAGTGCAGACAGATAAAATCTCACGGACCAATAAAGAGCAGCTAAGCAAAACCAACCTCGTTCACTGGTCACTTAGAAACCAGGAAACTTGTCGAATACAACTTAATGGCACTAACAGTGCAGACAGATAAAATCTCACGGACCAATAAAGAGCAGCTAAGCAAAATTTATCCCTAGATTTTTCAGTGTTTCTTTAAAGAAGTTTGCTCCTCTGGCAGAGGAAGAAGAAATTCTAGAGCCTGTAGATATCTATTTATAATATAAAATTAAGAATTTTAAGTCCAAAATTTTGGCATATTTCATACAACTTTTCAAATCTGATTAAAATAATGATTCAAAAAAACCTGTTAATAGACAGACTATTAGGTTGCTGTGTTAACTGTTTAAAAAGGAGCAAGTGACACTTAAAATGCAGCTTAGAATGCTATGAGATGTATAATATTCAATTCAGTTGTTTTTATTTTGTTTAGTTGCAGAGCAACTGTATATATTGTATAACCTAAAATCAACTCTTATTTTCAATGTCCTGGATGCAGTGATTTATAATTAGAGCATGATTAATAAATTTTACTCTTGTTAACCAGTCAAATGTCTGGAAAAATAAAACTACTTTTAAAATCACTGGCTACTTCTCTTCTGTTACCCTGCATTGCTTCGGCAATATTGTTCTTTTCAATGTGTAAAATGAGAACTACGAAAAAGTAGCACTTGAGCAAAAAAAAAAAAGAACATCTGGGGGATTTTTAGTGGAATGAGAAAATGGAATAGATG